CCCCCTTGAGGGAGTGAACCCAAAACCCTAAATCCTATATATCCCCCCTTTAAGGAGTTTAGGCTACAGCTCATATAGACTCCTATTGAACCCTTTCTGGGGTTACATGTTAGTTCGGGGGAGGTTTGGGATGAGAGTTCGGGGTGGTTAGTGGATGCAAATTAGAGTTTGGGGTTCAGGTTTAGGTCTAGGGTTTAGGGTACAAGGACATCAGGCGCTGATTAGGGCCACGTTTCAGCCTTTTGCTGGGTGGGGGCAGTACCCTACGGATAGGGATCTCGATGAGATCTCTACACACTCTATTGTAAACACCTCTTTGGGTGCTGCTGCGAGCATGCTTGGATTTTTTCATCACAGCGAGTGCATTTGTTTTTCTTTTTTCTCTCGGCTTTGTTGTTGCCATCCTTTCTCATGACAACTATATATATATACACATATATGGACATGTATACTTGCATATGCATGAAAAGTACTCATGTAGGGATACATGGGTAAGTAGACATGTTTATGCGTGTACATGCATATGTGATATTTACATATGGTTAAAAAGTGTCAAAATTACTTTGCAAAATTCTGAATGGTGCTCCCTTGTGTCACTCAGTTGTGAGAAAGTACTATAGGGGCTTAAACAATTACCAATACTATGGTTCCATATTCCTTATATAATTATGGTCTATGGTACCTCAAATGGACCTCAAATTGATGCCCCCGTAGCACCATATTTGTAGGACTTCATCCTGGAAAGGTTCATTTTTAGGCTTTGGGAATCCGCAGTGTACAGCAAACCCTAACCCTAAACCCTAAGCCCTGAACCGTGCAGTGCACAAAGCCTGTGGACTTTTGCTGGTTTTGGACTTGTTGTTTTGCAGGATTCAGGGTTTGGTCTGGGGGTTTCAGGACTAGGTCTGGATGGCTTTCCTGAAGAGGACTGACGTTGACACAATTAGACGTTTCACCCCCGCCTATCCAATGCGATATGTCTTTTTCAAGGGCCTGTGTTGCCGAGCGGAGTGCAAGGACCTCACAGAGGTCCTCACATTGTGAAGGGGATGAAGCTTCACAGTATTGTCCATACAAGGGTATATAGGGGTCATGTAGGGACATGATCCCAATAATGAAGAATCACATGGAAAAGAAAATGGAACATGAAATGGAACCTGGGTAATAGGATGGTTTATAAGGCACATATGAGCTTCTCGCAATGTTAGCCTTATTAAGGGACCCATGGCAGTGAACATAGGGGTCCCTCTTGTAGTTTGGTATAGTCCCTCATATCCTCCCTAATAAGGAACCCATGTCTATGAAATGATGTAGGAGATATTAACTGTAGCTTACATGTTTAGCAGAAGGCCTTTTCATTATCAAGGTTCTTTGACTCCAGCGGCTTCATAGAATTAGTCCACAGCTCACATTCCATCACCGGAGACTTCATCCCTCGAACTCGTCGACCTTCAACCCTCAGCCCTCAATCTTGAAGCTGTACACCTCCATCACCACTGTAGAAGCTTGAATGTTTACCAAAGTTGTTCCTTTGCCATCCTTACTTAGCTATAATATTATGTTCCCCCAACCCCTGTTCGAACTAAACCGTAGCCAACCAGACCTTGAACGCTGAATATCCTCATTCAAAGTAATTTGTAATAGTTGAAGCTTGTCCTAGTAGAGCTTTTGCGTAGGGGGTCGGGCTTTGTAAAATCCAAGTAAGCAGGTATATACGCCTAAACCTTTTTCTAGGGTTCAGCGGCAGGGAGAGTATGTGGGACCCGCCTTTTTTTGAGGTTGTTTCCTCGGGCGCCCCAGTCAAGGTACTTGAAATGTATGTTCTACTTGCAGTAATCCAGCGGCAGCTAAGGTAGGCGACCACGCTGAAGGAATTATGTTGATCCAAAACCCTAAGCCCCAACCGTAAATCATGTGCGTCTGGTGTTGATAGACAAATCCGGCATGATCCCCTGTACCTAAACCCCCAGGAACTATAGCAACATAGAAACCCAGAGTTGTGCAGGAATCCATCAACGGTGTCAAGCACTTCCCAATCACAAATCCCCTCATCCCTGGAAATAGATACTCCGCTCAATATATGATAGTACTATATTAGGGGAGGGGGGGTCATTATCATAAGTGTATATATCCGTACAGAATTCGTATACATGACATCTAAACACTTTGCCACCCCCGAGCCCTAAAACTTATATGAAGGAGGACATCTAAACGCCTTAAACTCTAAACTTAACACCCTATATGGTAGTTTCCAAGAATAGGGGGACCCCAATATAGACCCCCAAGTACTATAAGTCCTTATTATAGGGACCCCCCCCAAAAAAAAAATGGTACTCCTAATTTTGGGAAACCACCATATCAGGGAGGGCATCTGACCAGACCAATCTCTAAATCCCTTTACCCCTAAACCTTGGGTGCTGCCCCTACCCAGTAACAGTCTGTATTAGGGGTCCTGTTAAGGGCTACATATAACCATACTATAATTACTATCCAACTGTTACTGAGTGGAGGCAGTATCCAACCTAAACCCTAAACCCGAAATCCCTAAATCCATGAACCCTAACAACTACTCATTTTGCATCTACCAAGTCCCTGCCTGGCCACACAGAGCAACCTGCCAGAGTGTACTGATTTGGAGCTTGACGAGGGGTCAAAGAAATCGAATAAAAGGTGTTTAGGATTTAGGGCCTAGGGTTTAGGTTTAGGGCTGAGCGTTTCAGGTTTAGCGTCTAGGGTTTAGGGTTTGGGGCAGGCGCGGCCCCGAGCCCTAAACTGTTGGGGGGACTTGTTCTGCTTTGCTGGGGTCTACTTGGAGGGTCTGGGGGACTTGGTAAGTAGGTTAATAATTAGGAAAGCCAGCTTTCTGATATGGGTTATAAGGTTTCTAACCTACTTACTCTCCCCGACCCCCCCACCCTCACCCTAAACCCTTGCCCTCAAGTAATATGTAGGACATTCCATTTTCTTTCCGTTATAGGCCTACTTGCTGAGTCCCCTGACCCTCCAAGAAAGAGGTTCAACAGGGGATTGGGCAGGCCAGGCTATGAGGTGTTCAGCGCGGTGCTGTTGCTGCAGTAGCGGTTTAGGGTTTAAGGTTNNGGGGGGGGGGTGCTGGGTTGCCCCAATCTTTCAGACTAATTATAGAGTCCTGGTTCAGCCTCTAGAGCCCCCAAAAAAAGGGGACCCTTGAATTTGAGGGGGTCCCAGGCCTCCTATGCCCTCCGAACTAAAACCCTGGACCCTGAAGCCCAAACCACTCTCAACACTGAACCTTGGACTCAGTATTTCGTAGTTCGACTTCGGCATCACAATCGCATCTACAAAGGAGGTCGAGCCGTAAAACCCATTCCATAAAACTGAAGCCCGGAAATTCAAATCCTTCCAAGAGAGCGCTGCCACAAACAAAATAACTTTAGATCCTAAACTCCAAGCTCTACGTAACCGCAAACCTCAATTGATGTGTCATGACAGTGCTGGTTCTGAGTTCGCATGAGGTTTAGGGTCTAAGGTTTGAGTTTGTTAGCAAGTTTATCTAGACGTTGGTAGAACTGTTTCTACATCTTGCGGTAACTGTTGCTGCAAGGGGGATCACCTGAGGTTTAGTGTTTGCAAGATATATTTGGAGGGTTCCATGCTAGTGTGGAGGGCCTGTGCTCTGCCCCACCACTAGGGTTTAGGGT